GACATGTGCAGTGATGTTAAATGCCTGTGTTGTCCGTATTCAGTAAAATATTTACTGTTATTTTGTGATTCATTGTAGTGACTATAGCGTTTTCTTGACTGAAGATAGGGAAGAAGTCTATTCAATATTGTTCACCAGCACATCAATTCAAGGCATCAATTCGAGGGTCTTCCTTATTCATTGCCAGCTCTAGTATGCATGTGGTGGTGGTTGTGTGCCACCGAGTCAGTTCCAACTCATAGCAACCCTGTATCGGGTTTCCAAGACTGTACATCTATCTTCCTGCCAGCAGAAAGCCTCATTTTTCTCCTCCAGTGTGGCTGGTAGATTAGAATTCCTGGCCTCTTGGTTAGCAGCCCCACTCATAATCCACGACACTGTCATTGCATAGGTCAGGCCCACCTTAGTCCTCAGAGTGACACCTTTGCCCTTTGAGAAGAACGCATATCATTCTGTTTGCAGGACATTTGCCTAATACAGTTGATTTCTTGGCTGCTGCTTCCATGAATAATGGTTGTGGATCCAAGTAAAATTAAATCTGTAATAATTTAAATATTGTTTTACGTTTATGATGATATTGCTAATTGGTGCAGTTGTGAAGGGTTCGGTTCCTTTTGTTGAGTTGTAATCCAGACTGAAGGCTTCAAATTATCTTCACTTCAGCGAGCAGAGTTGTGGCGTATGCATATCACAGGTGGTTAATGAGTCTTCCTCCAGTTTTCTGATGTGTGGTTTCAGCTGAGATTTGTCTGCAGTGATGATCCCTCATTCCACATCTTCTCAATCTGGCTTGAATCTGCAACCATATTTGAGTTATCTTCTGAAAGCTTTTACTTGCTGTGATGTTCATTAGTGTTGTTGTTGATGTTAAGTGTCATCAAGTTAGTTCCACCTCACAGCCACCCTGTATAGGGTTTCTGAGGAGCGGCTAGTGAGTTTGAACTATTGCTCTATGGTACCACACCAGGACTCCATATTAATGATACTGTTCTTTAATTTCCACATCCTCTTGGATCCCCTTTCTTTGAAATGGACATAAGTATGAATCTCTTCCCGTCAGTTGGCTGTGTCCAACTTTCTTGGCATAGACGAGTAAGCATTTCTAGCATTGCCCTAGTTTATTTTGAAATAGCCCTTCCTGGAGCCTTGGTTTTTTTTGTGTTTTGTTTTGTTTTTTTTGGCAATTCCTTCAATTCGATACAATTCGTTTTTGGTCGTATGCTGTCTCTTAAGATGATTTGAGTGTTAGCCATTTCTTTTTGGTATGGTGACAGTGTTGTGTGTACCTTCCATCTCCTTCTTATCTCATTGTGATGCTTCCTGCATTGTTCAATTGCTTGAAGACGGAATTTTTTTCTTCAGTACTTAGTCTTTAGTATGTTAAATCTGTTGTTGAGATGGTCTCTAAATTCTCAAGATTATACTTAGGTTCTTGTGAACTTGTTTTAATTTTCTTCATGTTCAATTTGAACTTGCGTTCAGTCACTGGCCTTTTTCAAACATGTCGAACATCTCCATCATCTCTTTCCACAGATAGAATGAAATTGATTCCTGTGTGTTCTATCTGGTGAGATCCACATGTATAATTATAATTGCATTGTAATGTTATTGAAAAATGTATTTGCAATGAATAAGTAGTTGATCTTGCAAAATTCTCTCATGCATTCCTCTGACATGGTTTCTATCACCAAGGCCGTATTTCCCAATTGCACCTATTATACTTTGTTTGCAGTTTTTGCATTTGCAATCAGCAGTAATGCTAGTGCATCTTGACTGCATGTTGTATCAGTTTCCAACTGCAGAAGTGGGTAAATTTAAGAACATCAGTTGCATTCTATTTGGCATTAGTGGTTGGTACATAAATGTGAGTGATAGGCTCATTAACTGGTCTTGCTTGTTGGAGTATATTATCTCCAGCAGTGTTGTGCTTCAGGATAGATCTTGAAATACTCTTTCTGACAGTATGATGCCTTTCCTCTTCAGTTTGTCATTCCCAACATGGTTGTTTTGTTAATTGCCATCAATGCCGGCCGACTCAAAGCAATCCTGTATAGTGTTTCCAAGGCATTAAGTCTTCACAGGAGAAGAAAGCCTCATCTTTCTTCCACAGGACTACTAGTGAGCTCAAACGGCTGACCGTGTCCGCAGTCCAGTGCAACAATACAGATTTGAAATGGCCAATGTCAGCTCACTAATGCCTAGAAGGTATGCGGGGGTGGGTGGGGGGTTCAAAATGTTCATGAAAAGGCAATGGAATTTTTCCATGAACTTTTTGAAGCCCTTTCATATTTATCTTTAATTCAAATTGAATCTTTATCTGTGGAAAGAGATGATAAGAGAATCTCAGTATCATCAGAATGATGCCAGTGGCTGAATGCACACTAGATAGACCATGTTTCACTTTTAACAACTTCCAGTTTTCCTAGATTCATCATTTACACAGCCCTCATTCAAATTATTGATGGTCATATTTTGAGTGCCTTCCAGTCTGAGGGGTTCATCTTCCAGCAATCCATCAGACAGTGTGTGCTGCTGCTATTCCGAAGGCTTGTCACTGACCAGTTGTTTTAGAAGTAGAGTGCCTGGTCTTTCTTCCTGTCACTCTTATTCTGCAAGTGCTCCAGAAACCTGTCCATGGAGGTGAACCTGAAATACCCGTGTCAGTAGCTTCTTCCAGCATCGTAGCAACGGTGCAGCCACCACAGGAAAGCAAACAGCGGACAAGTAGTGGAGTAGAAGAAGAGAAGGGCATAAAGTTGGAAAGGCTTGTATTTTCTCTTTTTCTTTGCTGAGAATGACTGGCTGCATATTGGCCGCTGGAATGAAGGACCGTACATATGGCCTCTGTCTTTCCGTTGGGTTCTCGGTGACTCTCCGCTCAGAATACACGCAAACAGAAATACCGTTTTTTTTTTGGGTAGGATTTTGATTTATGTTTGTGTTTTTGTTTAAACACTGGTGGAAAGGTGTGTAAAAATGGTTTGGGGGTGACATCTGACCTCCTAACTTCACATGAGGGAAAGAAAGTAAAGACCAACAGCCCAAGACTGTTTCCTTCCTAAAGGTGGAGATCACATGCCTCCATCATCCAATCTTGGCAGTGGCCACGCAGAACTCACAGACAATACTCACAGTTATGGGGGTGGGGGGTGGGGATGGAGGACCAGCTATAGTTCAGGATCAGAAAAAAATCAGGACAGCTTGTTTTCAGCAGTACCTTTAGGCAGCTCTCTCTGGCCTCTGCCCGGCAAGTGTCCCCAGTGAATGCCAGGAGGTTACCATACACACACACACACACACTCACACACACACACACACCACGAGCAGCAAGCCTCCTGCCCACAGACACTCAGCTCTCTCGCTCCACACCGTCTCCAGTACAGCAGCTGTGCACTGTCTCCTGAGGTGAGAAGGTTCTCGGTGCAGGGATCCTGAGTCCCAAGGATGGGCTCCATCCTTGGCGCTTCTTTCTTGATGGTCATGAGGGTCTCCTTTCCCCCTATGAGGTGGCCCATTTTATGCCAAGCAGGATGGCAGAAATGTCCGCTCTTCTTGTTAGGGTTCTGTCTGCCTTGTTGACAAGCTCTTCATTTGCACAGTCCCACACAGTCATTTGGTGGTTGTGACTAGAAGGGCCATGTTCAGTAACTCATTCCACCACCAAACAATGGGAGTAAGGGCTGGACGAGCCAGGCTGCTTAATGTTATGATGTCACTTCTCTTTTTGTTACATAACTTGGGTGTCAAGTAGTGAAATGCTGTTGCCCCTAGGCATTTTCCCTCTAGGGTAAGAGACAAGAACAGCACATTCAGAACCTAACAATAGATAGCATCAAGAACCCGACTTTGGGCCCAGGCTCCTCAGAGAATAGACTGGATTAAAAGGAGGAGGAAGGGAGGAAGCTCATGCTTACTAAATAGTTCCCTCCAGGCACTCTCGGGGAGTCCTGGTGTGACGCTGTGGGTCAGTGCTCCAGACTGCAAAGCCGTTTGAACTGCAAGGTCAGTGGTTCAAGCTCACCAGCTACTCCTTGGAAACCCTATTACAGGGTTGCTATGGGTCAGAATTGACTCGACGGCACTTTACAAGAAGGCACTCGGGCTAAACAGACTGGTTGGGAAATAGAGGACATGTGCAAAGGGAACAAGACTGGGTCTGTTCAAATGGGACCCCGAAGATCCAGTTGGAGTGAAGTGCACTGCCCTTGAAAGGTCTGCCCCCGGGTGAAATGATAAGCACATGTTTTCTGTGCTTTTTCTCCTTGCAGCATTACTGGACAGGGAACAGAGTTGTTGTGGTCTTTTAGATTTGAAATATTAATGCGAAGACTAAGTTGATGGCCCTAACATTAAGGGAAGTGGGATACAGGAGATGGATCCTGGAGCTCAATCTTCATGTTTGTTAACCTGCTGGATTTGCGATGCTATAAAGCATACGAGAATGCTGTACATTCTTTAGACAGCTGTTCATTGAGAGCTAACCAGGTGCAGACTTTAACACATCTCTGGGGTACATACAGAGATCAAAGTTGACCAGCCTCCCTGTCTTCGTATGGCTTGCATTCTGCTGGGAGAGGCTGGCAGGAATCATATCGCTGTATTTGTCCATTGTAGTGAGAAGAAATTGCATGAGTAAGGGCCATCAGGGATAGGGTCGGTGGGCTATGGAGCCTGGAGGCAATAGCATTGTGACGAACAAGAAGACCGGCCAGGTAGAAACTAGATAGGACTATGGGAGGCCGAATCAGCATGGTGTTCCTGGGGGGCTCACCAGGAAGGTCCACTGGGTTTGGCATGGGCATTTGTGGTGACCTTCAAGAAGAAATGGGATTTCTTCAGATTTTAAGAGATTAAGGAGGAAGAGGGTGGGGGGCTGTGAGGAAGTTGAGGTGTGGGAGCTATTAAATGCCCTGTTCAGAAGCTTATCCTGAAAACAGTGTTGGTTGTTTCAGTGGACATTGTTACTCAGCTAAGACAATCAATCTTATGACCTGTTTCAGATGAAAAGAAAGATATTGAACATGAGACGGTGGTTGAAGAGCAGATCATTGGGGAGAACTCCCCTCCGGACTACTCCGAGTACATGACAGGAAAAAAGCTCCCTCCTGGGGGGATCCCGGGCATCGACCTCTCAGATCCCAAACAACTGGCAGAATTCGCTCGGTAAGTTTTAAGAATGATTTCTTCCTGTTGGAAAACGTGAGTTTGAGCCACCGGTAGAGAATTTTGGGCACCCAAGTCACAGTGGTGGTTTGTATTTCTGAAAATCAAAGTGGTCCCCTGTCTTTTAGTAGTAATTATGCTATTCATGTGACCACAAGCTGAAGGAAAATACTCTCTTAATTTCGTAATTGGCATAACTTGTGGATGGATAAACTGGCACATCATTTTTTTTGAAATGGGTCCTCCTGTCAACCACAGGATGGGTTTCCTTGTTTCCTGTTTCAGCCTGTCTTCTATCAAGCTCTGGGGGGTCATTCATAAAAGGTGGCATAACAGGATGAGACTAAACTCTCGTGGCTGGGAGCCTGTGACTGTCCACGGTGTGCCGTCAGGACCCTTTCTGTCTTGGCAGTGAGGTCTCACCATGAGGTGGGATGATCTACACGTTGTTTTGTCTTAACGTGACTTAACAAAAACATTGATGGCCCTGTCCAGCTAAGAAAAGTTTTTGAATAGTAGGCAAGAGTCTGTGTGATCAGAGCTTTAAGTCGAGAGACTTGCTTCTCTCGGTTTCCTGAGCTGGACTGGTGAGGCTATACCCAGAGGTGGGAGAGAGCTAGAGCTATTGAACCAAAGTTACTGAAGGTCCGAGCTGCAATTGTGGTACCAAGGTGGTGAAGGATTGGATGTGATAGAGATTACAGAAGGTAGATGGGAGGTTTAGAGTGGAACTGGCTGACTAGAAGGAGAGGAGACAATAGGTGGAATCAGAAACGGCACTAGAAGCTTCATTCCCTGGGCGGTGAGGCGAACTTGGAGAAGGTGCTGTTTAGGGGTCAGAAAGGCTGTGTTTGGTTTTAGATGATAGTAGAAGACCTGAGTTGGAATTTGAGGTGTTTTTGTTAGGAAATGAAATAGGGCTAAAGTCATATGGTGAGGGGCAGTTAATTCCATGGAAGTGGTAAAATCTTTTCATGGGAAGGTTATGGAGAGAAAAGCCACTTGTATTCTGAGAGGAAGAGCATCCCCAAACCACAAAGGCCCAAGAGAGAAGGAATACAGCTCTCGTGATTTCGACGGTGGAGCCAAGGGTTAAGGAAAGCTACTGAAGAGAGCAGGGACTGGTGTATGAGCCTGAGATGTCTTGGCCCTTGGCATGGCTCACCTTCACTGGAGGGGGCAAGGGGGCAGCTGATAAGAGAGCTTGTCCCCAATTCCTCTGCACAGGAAGTTTGGGGTGTTTCAGCCCTGACCTCAGGGCACATGTCACTGGTGTATACTAGGAACCTCTGTTTATTTCCTAAGTGATCTTCTTTCTCTAGATCCAGGGCTTCCTTAGCCCGTCCTCCTGAGGAAGTGGACCATACACACATACACACACACACACCATATACAGGGACTGGGACCAGGGGCCAGAGGTCATTTGTAAAATTTCAAAACAACCAAGGATGAAGAACATAAAAGCTGTCAGGCTGAAACTTCTTGGATAGCAGTGCAGGGAGGGGCTTCAAAAAGTTCATGGGAAAATGGACCTCGCAGATTCAAAAAATATGGTGTGCTCCATTAAGATTTCAGAGGAAAAAATACTGTACACAAAGAATTCTGTCTGCAGCAACGCGATCAGTCCAGTCAATTCAAAGGTAAACTAAGGATAATTTTAAGACACCCAAGGTGTGGCGCTTTGGGATAATGCACTAGACTGAAAGGTCGGCATTTCAAACTCAACATTTGTTCCTCAGAAACCCTGTGAGTCAGAATTGGCTCACCAGCATTTAACTACAGAAGGCACTGTAGGGTCAGCACTAGACTGTGAACCACCAGGTCAGCAGTTCAAACCCACCAGCTCCTCAGAAACCAGGGTCGTCTTTGAGTTAGAAACAACTCCATGACACCTAACAACAAACACAGTGCCTTAGGAAATGCATTCAACCACACGGTCAGTGGTCCAAACTTACTAGCTGCTCCCCAGAAACCCTACATAGGGTAGCTATGAGTCGGAACCAATTCGAGGACACTTAATAACAGCAGGGATTTATTTTACATTGCATACACCCCTTCCAAGGAGCTTGCTTCAGATACCCCGAAAAAACGATGTGCATCCACAGGAAATCCTCCTGAGTCTTACAGAGCAAAGAAACCAAGAAGCCAGGCATGCAGCAAGCTGGGAAGGCCGTTAGAGCCTCTGGGCCTGGCAGGGTTCTCCCAGAAGTCAGTTTTACTCTGTAGTGAGTAGATGAGTGCAAAGTTAGAAGATCTTGATGGCATGGACACTATCTAAAAAAGCAAAGGCAGTCACAGGTGAGTCATGATTTGGGGCAGTGTTTAAAGAGAGAAATCTCATTTGGCCGGACTCTGGAAAATGTTCTTTTTGGTTGTTGTTCAGTGCTGTGGAGTTGGTTCTGACTCATGGTGACCCTGTATAGGGTTTCCAAGGTGGGTTTGAACTGGCTAGTAGTCCAATACGTGTCCTACAGTGCCACGCCAAGACATCATTTAAAATAAATGTAAGATAGCATATTGTAGGGGGGACCCTGTTCTGGTGGCGTTTCCACATTTGACCTCCTGGGCCCCAAATGTGAGCATCAAGTTGGGTGGAACAGGGGAAAGGTCTCTGAGAATGTGAAAGTTGGGTGTTTGCACCTACCCTGTACCTTTGAATTTTCACAAACAATTGTGAAGCCATTTCCACAGCCAACCATGTGTAGCACGTTTCAGTGGGCTCTTCACTGTGAAATAACAGTTCTTAATTGGCCAGATTGCAATTTGGTTTTTTGATTTGTAAATTGTTATTTGAGTGGATATGTATACTATATAAATATATGAAATGCCATGATTGTTTTTCAAACTCTGATCCAGCCTCCAGGTGGCGCAGTGTCACCATGATTCTTGACCTACCTAGAATCTGTGAGCGCAGACCAAAACTCTAGGATGTCTTGGTATTTAAGATAACAGGAGCTAGTTTCAGAGCACTGTATGCAGTAAGTGCTTAGAAAATATTTGCTAACTGATGTAGTGGTCCTCCAATTACAAGAAAGACAAGAGTGTCTTCGGGGTTGGGGTGGGAGAGGATACCAGATTGAAAATACTGTTAGAAAATTTAGACTCGAAAACCAGGAGTGTCTCAACTGCCCTTTATAGGGGTCAGGTAGAGCAAGCCAAGGACACGCGAAGTCTGTTTCAGAGATTGCTTCTTGATGTTGTTGTCATTTTTTAATAGTTTTCCTAGGAACTCTTAATTTCTCACCCCTCTTTCTTTTAAAGAACAAATTCTCTTTGTCTCTCTCCCCCCGTACTCCCCTCTCTGCCAAAAACTGTTATAAGGATGAAACAGTATGAAATTGAAAAGGGTGGAATAGAGCCCCTGGCCCTCCTCCCCAAACCAGTGCTGACAGTGTCTTGTGATCCTTTGTAGAGAAATTTTATACTTCTGGGGCCAAAAGTATCGCTACTAGGATTCCTGTCTATACATGCCCAGGTTTATGCCAGACAAAACATGTGTGGCCTATCTTGGTACTCAGTGGATTGTTGGAGATAATGAACCTGTTTTCATCTCCTAAGGGTGTCTTTCTCCCCCCCCCCCCAAAAATAAATAAATAAATAAAAACCGTTCCAATCAAAACTGGCTTCCCAGGGACTCTGCTGGGCCAGCTCAAGGCACAGAGATCAGCTCAAACGTTTTGTTTTTTGTTTTTGTTTTGGGGGGAGAGGGAAGTAGCACTCCAAAAGTCATCTTAATAGATTTTCTTGATGGATGTGAGACTTATCACATGGCTTTATTATGAAGAAATTTTTATGATTGAAAAATGCATTAGTGAGAAAAGGGCCAGAAATGTTGCACCAAGATTTGTTTTCTCTCCCCATCACAAGCATGCACTTACTCATTCTTTCCAGGTGACTGTCCTGTGCCTGTTTCATTGGGAAACTCTCTAACCCCTGATCTTGCCCCTACAGATTTCTTTTTTTTTTTTTTAAAAAAAGCTTTTATTGTGAATTGAGTGATAGTTTACATTGGAGAACATCGAATTTACACTCATCCTATCGTATTTTGTTTCAATGCAATGATGACCATTCCCTCCATGCATCATCTTTCAACAGTATTTGCTTCTATTCCCTTTGTTTTTTGCTCTGTGTATGTGTGTGTGATGTACACAAAAAGACTCAAGAATATGTAATTATTTAAACAACCCAAGGACACATTCTGCAGTTCTGCCTCCAGGCTGCCAGCACACAGCCTTTCTGTTTCCAAGAGTCTGGAGTTCTTAGCTACTCTCTCCTTATCATCTCTGGTGTTACTGCTTCTCCAGTTAGGGTCCCACAGTCTGCTCATGCTCTTCTCCCTTGATGGTCCTAGGGTCCTCTGTTCCTGGGATGTAAGTTTAACTACTCCCCCCTAGATGTTACAAAACTTCTACAATTACAGTTGTCACAACACAATTAGGCACGATAACAATTACTCACTACTGAATATTCAGATTTCTTTTTGTTTCCAAAACTAAGAGAATATTAAAAGTTAATACAACTGCCCAAATTGCTCTTTTGAAGTGGTGTGAATGGAAGAGCACAGGATTCTTTGGGGAAAGGGTTAGAGAGATGGAAATGCTGCCTTTCAGAAGGGAAATGATCTAGATAAAGGAGATGTGGAGAAATAGAGTCTTTGTGTTTTGATACATTTGTGTAATAAAGGTTTCTATGATTTTGTAGTGATACTTTTTGGTTTACTTTCATTTACCAATACATCTCTTTTTTAAAAACCCTGTCCTGTATCTTGTTTTCGAATAGTATGTCTTAAAGAGCCTTTTCAGTATGAACTGGAGCCGTATTTTTGGTCTCTTTTTTAAACTGCTCTCTAGGAATAGTTTGTCGCTGTGGGTTAATGTGCTGGATTGCCAAGTAGGTTTCAATTGCAAGGTTGGTGGTTCAAGCCCACTAGCCACTCCTTGAAAACCCGATACAGGGTTGCTATGGGTCAGAAACGACTCAGCGACCCTAAACTACAACATAGGAATACCTTGCCTTGCTCCAGTCTAAGAGACTCATTGGTGGTTTGGGTGACAGAGTTTGCATTGGAATCTCATAGCTAGCTCACAGTGTCCTCTAGGATACACTGATGTACTCCTCTGAGACTAGACAGCCTGTCTGAGCATCAGGGGCCTCATCTGTGAAATGGGAAGCACAGGCCACACTCCTAGGTTCTCGGTGAGCGCTAGTTGTCACATCCTCCCCCCCCCCCTTTATAAAATAGTTGATTTATGCCCATTAAGTCTGCCCACTCCTACAAACCTACAAATCCATCTCTCTCTCTCTCTCTTTTTTTTGGTAAGAATGAAGCCAAGAAAAATTAAAGAAGACGATGCTCCAAGGACAATCGCTTGCCCTCACAAAGTAAGTCATGCGGGGTCCAATGCTGACTACACTGATAATGGATGCAGTCTTAGGATCATAATAAGAAACTTGCATTTTTATTTCCATCTTCATAATTGAGATATAAAGTAAGGAACTTAAATCTTTGGTCTCCTAAGTCAAGAGACTGCATTCTGCCATGTAATGTTTGTTGTTTTGCAAAGATCACTTAAATGCAAATGATGTGACATTGAATTGCTCTAGTAAGTGTGTTATGATCACTGTGTAAGTCAGTCTTGTGACTTTGGATATGTCTTTGCTGTGAACTCTATGGGGCTGTAGATGTTGCTCAAACAATCCTCATGAGATGCTAGCATTTTCTTCACCGTGTTCTTAATTTACCCTGTTAATTGTATAGGAAGAGCAGTGAACTGTTTTCAAATGTGGGTCATCTACATTGAAGGTATTGATTGAGATCTGTTTTCAAACTTAGTTGGATTTAAAAAAAACAAAGTACCGCCTACATGCGAAGACAGAAAAGGGGTGGGGGGTGCGGCACTGTGAAGGGACTGCAGACTGTTCCGAATCCCCTTGGGAGAGGGTAAACTTAGATGGCTGATCTCATGTCCCATGACTGTGATGACTGTGCACTTGCCGGCTGTCGTGTGGCGGCGATCTTGGACTGGCCCACAGTAAATAAGCATTTGAAAACAGTTCCTCCTCCTGTTAGTGCCTGTCCTCTGGCTGCTCCGTCTCTTGTTGTTTGTTTGTTTCAATTCCATTTGCCAAATGGAAGCTCCGGCTAGAGGTCAGGGTGAAAAGCCTGTGAACCTGTCCGTGGTTGGCTTGTGCTGTCCTGCTGTGCGATCATCCCCCGGTCACTCCATTTCTGGGCAACAACTGCAGAAGAAATTGAGGCCCTGCTCCTCTGGTACCACCTCCATCTGCCTCGGTCCACTCTGCATAAAGAGTCAGCTGGCTGCTGCTTCCTTTCCTAGTGTCTCACAAAATCAATTTCTTCTGTAGTTGCCATTCCTTGGAGACCCTCTTGCTTCTTTCTCTGTCAAGAAGGGGAAAGAGGCAGAGAAGAGGGAGCACTGGGCGATGGAGAGTGACAGCCCAGAGTGTGGGCCCACCTAAGGTAGTGGTGGCCTCAGCCTTTTAACTCCATTTCTGTATCGGTGCTTCTGCTACTGCATTTGGGGGACATACTGGGGTGAGGCAGCCGGGGTGTAGCTGGGAGCCAGCGTGTGTGGGGTTCTAATCCTGGTAGGTGTGACCTTGGGCAGATCTACAGAAAGCCGTCTTGAAGCCTCAGTTTTCTCATCTGTAAACAAGGGGTGTGCATTGAATGATAGGACCTGGCTCAGCTGTCTGGTGGTGGTTGTGTTAAATCATCATATCTCAAGATGTTCACTGCACAGGGAAAATGGGATTGAGCAGGTCAGGTCCCGGAGCTACCGGAGGGGAACTGTATGGAGCTGCAGGGGTTGGGTGGGCCCGGGAGGGGGTGTAAGGGTTTGTGCGTGGTTAGTGTGCTGTCTGTCATGAGAGCCACTAAGCGTCTCTCTGTTTCAAGGGCTGCACAAAGATGTTCAGGGACAACTCGGCCATGAGGAAGCATCTGCATACCCACGGTCCCCGAGTCCACGTCTGTGCAGAATGTGGCAAAGCTTTTGTCGAGAGCTCAAAGCTAAAACGGCACCAACTGGTTCATACTGGAGAGAAGCCCTTTCAGGTAGAGCTGGACTCCCTCTCTCCCCTTGCAGCCCTTCGGGTGCCCACGCCCCACTGATGACAGTGGTAGGGCTGCTTTCCTTAGTGAGAGGCGGTGGGCTGGGAGAGCCAGGCGCTCCTCTTCTGTGTGTTGTCTCTGTTGGGGTGTTCATGGAGTGGGCTTTACCACACCAGCCGCGTGGCCCCTGCCAGTTCCCGTGTGGTTTGTTGTAGTTAATGAACCAAAAGCAAACCGCTGCTGTCAAGTCTGTCCCGACGTACAGCGACTCTTTAGGACAGACTCGAACAGCTCCTGGGGCAGACCTTTCCTGAGGTTAGCAGCCCAGTTAGCAGCTTAACCCACTGCGTCACAAACGGGGCCGTCCTTGAACCACCTTGTCGTTACTGAATTACCACTGTGTGCTAGACAGGGATTTCTGACAGTGTATCATGTCCTCCGAGTAAATAGAAATGATCTTTTACCTTGATTTTAGAAAACCCAAAAATAAAAGAACAGATAGTGAGGTGGCTAGTAAATCGAATGTTCTTTTGGGTAGCCAACATTAGAAAGCCTCTCCCAGCATATTTATATTGTACTATTAGGAACTCCTGATGTGGACCAGTTAGATAAGCCGTGGACTGTCAGTTCAAACCCACCAGCCACTCTTTGGAAACCCTATACAGGGTCACTGTGAGTCGGAACTGACCTTCATGAGTTTAGGGAAATCCTTGCCAGTTTGCCATGTTTCTCTTTTGTTGCATTTAAACAGTCCTTAAGGGCTTTCCACTGATTCTAGAATTTACCTTAGAAAGTTCACCCAGGGCAGGGAGGGACAGTGTTTGGACAGACCAGTAGGCCCTTCTCCATCTAGCAGGGGGTCCCAGCCCCTGGGGGTCTGTGGTAGTTGCCAAGTGGGTTGACCTGTGGTCTTTCCTCGACAGTGCACATTCGAAGGCTGTGGGAAGCGTTTCTCACTGGACTTCAATTTGCGCACGCACGTGCGAATCCACACCGGAGACAGGCCCTATGTGTGCCCCTTCGATGGTTGTAATAAGAAGTTTGCTCAGTCAACTAACCTGAAGTCTCACATCTTAACACATGCTAAGGCCAAAAACAACCAGTGAGCGGAAAAGAGGAGAGCAAGCCCCCTTCTCAGCCTCGAGAATCCTCTTGCAGAGCGTGGTTGGGAGTACAAACACCTCTCCTTTGTATAGTGTTTCTAGGAAAGAATTTTAAAAAAAAATGAATCCTACACACCTAAGGGACATGTTTTGATAAAGTAGTAAAAATTTAAAAACAGAAAACAAACTTTAATAAGATGACATTGCGGAGATGCTCTATCTTGCTCTGTAATCTCGTTTCCAAACCACGGTGTTTTTGTAAAGTGCGGTCCCACCAGGAGGACAATTCATGAACTTCGCATCAAAAGACAATTCTTTATACAACAGTGCTAAAAATGGGACTTCTTTTCACATTCTTATAAATATGAAGCTCACCTGTTGCTTACAATTTTTTTAATTTTGTATTTTCCAAGTGTGCATATTGTACACTTTTTGGGGATATGCTTAGTAATGCTATGTGTGATTTTTCTGGAGGTTGATAACTTTGCTTGCAGTAGATTTTCTTTAAAAGAATGGGCAGTTACATGCATACTTCAAAAGTATTTTTCCTGTACAAAAAAAAGTTATATAGGTTTTGTTTGCTATCTTAATTTTGGTTGTATTCTTTGATGTTAACACATTTTGTATAATTGTATCGTATAGCTGTATTGAATCATGTAGTATCAAATATTAGATGTGATTTAATAGTGTTAATCAATTTAAACCCATTCTAGTCACCTTTTTTTTTTTTCCCAAAAAATACTGCCAGATGCTGATGTTGAGTGTAATTTCTTTGCCTGTTCAGTTACAGAAAGTGGTGCTCAGTTGTAGAATGTATTGTACCTTTTAACACCTAATGTGTACATCGCGTGTAACAGAAAGGTCAACAATAAATCGGCGATCCTGAACAAGGAATATGGCAGAACAAGATATGTAAGCACAGTCTTACTTGCTTTTGTTGTCCAGAATAATTCTAATTCTTGAGCCTCCCAGAAATTGGAAGCTAAATAAAGCAACTCAAGTTTCCTTTATTTTGCACTCAATTACGGTGATTTGTGGCTAAAGTGATGCATGGATATGTGAATACTTCCCACGTAAGTTGAAAGAAAGTAGGGAACAGGGCTCCTGAGATAAAAGGATCTACCTCAGAGCACCCCACACTGGGTCCAGCCCATGATGAGCGGACGTGGTTCTGACGGGGCCTGTCTGCTCTCCAGGTAAGGCGTTGACTGGCAGTGGACTGAGCAGAGGGAAGACTGGGCCTTGCCAGCCCTCAGGCTGCCCTTTGTCTGACAGGACAGTGATTGGTTAGTTGGCTAGTGGGCCTCCGCCTAGCAGACTCTGAGGTACCAGCATGTGAGGCGGCTGAGCGCCACGTCAATACACGGTTTCTATGCTTCCCAAGGGACCCTGCATGCAGCTTGGCAAGGTAACTTGGGCGATCAGAAAAACTGTCCTCAGTGAGCACTTTTACCTCTCAACTGGAGGCCTCTTCTATGGACGACGCTAATTTTTGAATTTTACTTCGGGTCAAAAAATTAGACTCACTGAGAATCTTTTATAAACCGCCACGGTAACAGCAAAATCCCATCTGGTCCAAATGATGTGTGTCTTCCTGTGCTGGGCATCAGACTCTGAGGGACGTGGCATACAAATTCTCAGCCGATTGATTAATCGATGTCCAGGACACCATCCGGTCAAAGACACGGGCCCAGGTTTGGAACGCTTCCACCTCACTCCTGCCTCGGAGGATTGTTGGTAAGCTGGTGGCTCTGCAGAATTTTGAAGTGCCTTCTGAATCTTGAAGAATGTCATTTGAGACCCTTTTGGGTAGCCATTCAGAATCTGTAACCCGTTGAGTCATTGAAGGGAGTTGAGTGGACTGGAAACCCCGCTGTGCGGACAGGCCAAACTTTGCTGTGTTTGCAGGCAGTAGAGAGGTGAACCCCTGGGTGCAGGCTCCTTTGAAGCCAAGTGCCCAGTGTTAATGTTTCAGTGACTGACCGACCCCAGGTGCCCAGAGCCACCTTGACCATGCTCAGTGCCCTGCAGAAGCCAGACTCCTGTGGCGAGGGGGGAGGCCCCTCTTCCTCTGTGCCTTGACCCCTGGGGGAGACCTTTGGTCATCTCTTATGTCCTTGCTATCTCGGAGTGGAATGGTCACCTCCCCTCCCCCCCGCCCTATCCTTCGACTTCTCTGTCCATGTTTTCTCAGCATTTGCAGAGTCCCTGTCCGTAAGCAGTTTCCGGGGGGTTGGTGACGAAAACTTTCCATACAAACTCCTTTAGGACTCGGTACTACTCCCGGTTTACCACCATGTAGGAAACGAATGGACAAGCTGCGCTTTTAAAAGGAGAGGGTGGTAGTTCTCCTTCGGGTTGGCTTAAGCCCATCTTGTTTGTGGTTAGAATGTATCATTTTGCTGAAACTGTAATTTATTACACTTTGAAATGGTGTTTGAACAGTGAGCCCATTGTCTTGAGGATTGATCTGATTTATAAGTCATGCGGAAGACCTATTTTCTTACATCTAAACTGAACTCAATGCATGCTTCTAGCATCTGTAATATAAAAACGCCAGAGGGTAAGTTTACACTTAACAAGATGTTGTTTTCTATTTTTCGAATTTCTTCGCCTCCTCCCCCTTTTTGGTAGTGGGATGGGGCAGGGGTCGGGGGGAGCATAATATTTGTATAAAGAAATGTCACCTCTTGAGTGACTCTTATTTTCCCAGGGGACATGGAATTCATGCTGTTGATTTCATACGGTGTTTGTATGCTTTGTCTGAACTCAAGGCCTGAGGATTTGAGGAAAATCAAGACGTGTGTTCCTAGTGGGTCTTCACATATACATTCTTTGTACACATTCTTTGCAACGCCCTTCGTGTTGCTAAATTTGAGTCTGAAGACAGACCCGGGAGGCAGCCGCCGTGTCTGCAGCAGCGCTTGCTCGTTTCTCCCCAGTAGACAAGACTCCCTTAGACTCAGCTGCCCACACAGGTCTCTCCCTGCCCCACTATAGTGTGTAGACTGCTTGCTGAAACTTGGCTCTGGTGACTTACCTCCGATCTGTCCAAGGCCCTGGGAAACCTGGTCCCCTGATCTGTGGATTGGGAACGTGATGATTGCAACCCGCTGCTACACCATCCCTGCAATGACCGGCTCAGAGAACTGATGTCCCGTTTCCCATGTCCCCAGTTTCTGGTGTCATTTGAGATCACAGCAGCTTAGCAGGTCCATTCTGCTCCTGTTTTCCTCCACCGGCAAGAACAAGGCTCCCCGAGATGAGACTAGGTGAGTGGCTGCTGTTCCCAGCATCCACTTAGCATCCTGGCCAGCTCTCACCTTCCTTCCAGCTACTCTGATGACCACTGGAGCCCACTCTTGGCCGGTCACTGGATGGGATTGACTACAGGGCACCTGTCTGACCCATGTCTTTGTTGTAGCACTGGAAAGTCCAGGCCCCCTGGGTGCTGAGAGGTACAGGAGCAAGCCAAGAGCTTGCACGACCCTTCTGGCCTGCTCAGCCTTTGACCGAATGGCTGACTGGGTCCAAGACACCCCACAGACTGACCTTTGATTTTTTGTTTTTTTTCCTTGCCACTGCTCAGATGTCTGAGGAGCGTTTGAGCGTGGGCCTTTCTTTCAGAGCAGCAGCATCGGGCAGGGAGAGGGCTTGCCCACCTCAGTGAATGTGCGCGTGGACCCTGTCTGGACTTGCCACACATTCCCCACTCCCCTGGTAAAAACAGGAGGGCACTCCGGGATCAATGCAGGCATATGTCACCAGAAATGAAACGACTTCTTAGAAGCTCAGTCTGACCCCCCCCCAGCCCCCGGTTCTGGGCGCCTGCACAGAGTGTGTGGAGGTATCCTATTTGTGTGACACACTGTGATTGATTTTCCTCAAATTGCTTTTCAGACTCAGATGCCATAAGAAGCCACACTGGGACACTGTGGAGGGAGGGAGGCCACTGCTGGGCTACTCTCTGGGCCACGAGATGGTGTGCCTTGAAGGGAAAAAGGCATTTGGTGTACCAAACAGTAACCTTTTCTTCGCTAGCACCCTTAACTACTGTGAGAATGTTAACTGTGGCTGATTGGTGAACCCTTAGAGAGATTCTGTTCTCCTCGCCAGCTGGTCACTGCGGTAGGCCCTGGTGAAGGAATTGAGCTCATGTCCCATGTACATCTTTTTCTTAAGTGTTCTTTGCCATTTCTAGAACCGTCCTTGATTTCTCCTTAGCTCATAGATCATAGCAGCAGAAATATTCTAGTATTTAAGGCATCCGCCTCAAGCATCAGATGGCTTTGCATCCAGAAAAATAAAAACATTTAACACTAACTCCGTTTGAAGCACCACGCATGTATACATGGCTCTATAAACTAATAAATGCATCCTGTTAAGCTTTTTACTGTCTGTGCTTCTCATTTGTTCTTCATTCCTCCGAGCTGCCCTTCCTTCCCGTCATCCCTTAAACCTGGTGAGCAGCTGATGGCTACCGGAACCCCCAAACCGCCTAAGCTGCTGACCCCTCGGGTGTCATCTATTAAGAATCTTAACTGAATAAACAAAAGGAAATGTAAAAATCAGACCAACGTTATAAAAAGAAAACTAAAGGGGATTCTTAGACCGTGAATCAGTAACAGCAAACGTGCTGACGTTAGCGTACCTGACAGCAGCCCCTAGAACTCCACAGAGCTGCACAAGTCCTCAGAGTGAAACACAACTTGCAAGACTGAAAACGGAATCTGCGAGACCCATTTGCAGCAGCAAGAAGAAAAAACAAAGGTTTAAAAAATAAACGTAGTTACAGAACTTGCAAGTGAGGAAATCAAACCTTTCCAGAAGCTCAAACCCTAACTAACACTATATAAAGTGGTGCTGTGGTAAGCACTGGACTGTTGGACAGAAATGTTGGTTGTTTAGAGCCACCAGCCACTCATAGTGACCCTGTAATAGACTTTCCAGGGTTTTAAATCTACTGGAACAAGGAAGCCTTAGCCTTCTCCCCTGGAATAGCTAGTGGGCTCGAACTGCTGACCTTACGGTTTGTAGTCTAGTGATTAGCCTATAGGGCCACTACGCTCAATACTTTTATTCCTTGCTCCTCCCCCCCCAAATGTTTCTGGCCTAAAACTCGGATTTGCCAACACCAATAGACAAAAGGCTGTGTATGTATTTAAAGATGTTCACAGTATTAGGAAAATACATGAATATTAGGTGAGACCGAAGTTGAATCTAAAACGCTTGTTACCGCTATTTGAAAAGGAAAAACGAATCCGTAACAAGCCACTTCCTTCTCCTTGCTAACTGGGGGCAAGGTCTTGGGCAGAGTGCCGCTCAGGTGGTGTCCCAGAACTAAAGGGAAGTGTGGAGACTAGGGTGAAGACAGGAAACAATTGAGTTCATTGAAGGCATAGAAATTGTTGTGTATAACATGGCTCCCACTGTACCAAGAAACCACCGTACACAGAGCCACCACGCTCCACCTTTAGTTCTATAATCATCCTTTAAGGCCAATTATTGGCCCTTGGCTGCACTTCATCTTCCCAGGAAGCGCGGGTCCCAGTACATCAGCCTCTGGGAGACTCTAGGGTGGGGCCCATCACCACCCTGGGTCAGTCTCCCCGGGCCTGGAGTCTCTGACTGCCCACACCCAAACCTGGGGCTCTCCGTCCCTACTGCCTCTCGCCCACCCTCAAAGCTGCACGAAGGCCCAGACCTCCTGCTGGCAGTGGGCTGTGCTGTCCTGGCCCAACGTCATCCATCTTTGTAAAGTTTCCCTCTCCTTGCTTTTTCAAATTCATTGGTTCATTCAGTCAATGAGCATTGTTAGTACCTTCAAGTTGGTTGTGACTCACAGCGACCCTGTCTAGGGTTGATAGGAAAGCTTGGTGGATGTGAA